CCGTGGTCCGCAAGACCTCACAGGGAGGAAAGCCTTCATAGTTCCAAGCTCAAACAAATGCATCGGGTGCAACATATTGTTACCCTGTGATAAAATCGATAACTACTAGTAAGACATTCCTCAAGCAACTTTCTTCCAAATGAACTATAATGTCCACCCCCCAAGCCCAAAGTGGTGGCCCGCAAGTAACAACAAACATTCGCTTCATCCCCTTCGCAGCACCAACATCAAAGTATCAGATTTTGCGTGATTTGTTCCAATTCTCTTGTGAACGTGGTGACCTTCTCCACACAACCACCCCAACCATGTCATACAAGAACATGTTGCCCAAGCATCACTGCGATACTCGGCTTGATCATGATTTGAGTGAACCAACCTGGAATCTGTGTAACCTCCCATCATCCAAGTGTTCAGTCTTCGACGGCCCCAGTCAAGAGTCGCGAGCAGACAGACGCCTCCGGAATCTGGGAAGACCGCAGCTCAGATGGTATGACAGGATGACCATGTATGACCCATCCCTAGACAATAGTGATCCTTCCACAACACATAACTCCCTATAAAAATAGGAAACCATAGGAAACCTATTGAAGCCCTAGACCAAACACTCCATGAAACTGGAAGAACCATGCCTAAGGTTGACCCCCGTAACGTAACCACCGCAACTGATTGGCAAACAAAACGCCGTCCAAAAAGGCTTGGAGTCGTCAGAAACCTTTTCCCCTCGATCATCCTCCACGAGAGCTCCGGCGGAATCCAATCGAGAACTGCGGCCTCTGGCCGCACGAGCTGCCTCCGCGCCACCGCCTCCACCACTTGCTGGGTCAAGCGCAGCTCCTCGTGAAACTCCTGAGTTTCCACACGAACGTCCGATTTTCACGGCACGCCGTGATAGAAGATGCGCGCCGTACCGGTGTGAAAATATCCCACGGAGACTGCAGTGACTTGGAATTTTGGTTTGGCATGTGGCTGTGGCACCATGCCATGCCAAAGCTCTTTATTGCACCCACCTCTCACCGAGGTCATTTGCCCCACCCTTTGAGGACCCGTGGGTCACGCTACGTCGTCTCGCATTCGTTCAACATCCAGGGCACTGAGGCATCGGAGCCGGAACTGTCCATGGGAGTTGTGTCCATAAGAAAAAAACATGAAGCGTCCTTGCTACTAGTAGCTTCTTGTTACTAGTAGTACGGCCAGGAGCCCCTAGTAGCGTCCTTGCTCCTAGTAGCGATGCCAGGAGCCCCTAGTAGCGTCCTTGTTACTAGTAGCTTCTTGTTACTAGTAAGGCACCTTGTTACTAGCAGCGTCCCTGCTACTAGTAGCGATGCACTTGTTACTAGTATTGTTCCTCCTATGCGCTCCAAGAATGTCTGATTTATTTGGCCTTTCGGCTGAGCCAAGCCGCTGCCTTGGCTCGAAAGACGCCGGCTGCCCACATCTTGGGCCAAACAGGCGGGGCCCGGCCCGAGAGTCTTGTGTCGTCGTCGACTGTGTCGGCCACACCGTCTTGTGATCGAAATAGATGTCATTTAATGTAGACATTTAGTGGTCGAAATACCTTTCCCCAGGCCTGATGAGGTTTCACAATCCAATTGGGGGGGGTATCAGTCTATATTAGGTGTGAAGAGAATAAGAATCGGCAAAAGCGGCAAAAGCGGCATCTTAAATGGTGCTTTTCTGCACCACCTGGAAAACTATACCACACATCTCAGGCAGCGGGCGGAAGGCAACTCAGGCAGCGTCCCTTAAGTTCGGGACGCTCGACTCAGCCATTTGCTTAGCATCCATCGGGGCATATGGTATATGTGAACGGTGATCACATCAAAACTGGATCGAGGACGTGCTTTTGATTGGTCTCACTGACAGCATCGTGTGATCAAAGAAACTGACTGCAATTGAGGGATAATTATGGGTTGTGTCAAGGTTTATTCATCTATATAACATGTGTGAAACCCGCGTCCACTGCATTCACTCAACCAGATTGGCAATTTTCCCCAAACATCCAAGAGCAACTCCAAAGAGCATGCTGTTGGGGCCCGGAGCCTGAATTAACAACAGTATAGTAGCGTAGAGATGTGTAGAGTGTTGCTTTAAGTATATCGGGTACGTACTTCAAAACAGGGAGACAACCCAGTTCGAGACAAGTTTACCCATTGGGGCGATCGGGGGGTCTCCCTAATAATTATACACACTCCCGATCACTCGCGTATCTTCTGTAAGCCGCTGAGATGAGAACACCGCAAAGATGAGAATCAGCACACGGAGATTCATCAGGTGGGTGCCTTGCTGCATGATGATGACAATATGACACAACGATTTGAACATACTTGAACAACTACGACATCTTCCACCAACTCCAGCTTCCCCTCCCTCAGCCAACGGCCTGACTCATCAAAGCTGGATGGTGATCGTGTCCTCACCAAGTGCAGATCCACGATCCGCGGTCCGGGCCGACCGTAGAAGGGCTGAAGATGACCGAATATGACCAAAGCTACCGGCTCCAAACAAATAGCTAACCAGATTGGACCATCGCAGCATCTCGAAGCCAAGCAACATTCTGACGTGACAAACAAAGCCTTGTAAACAGTGGCATTGTCTCTGGTGAAGTTCCGCTCGTGCTCGACACACGGTCGACCGTTCTGCCTGTTTCTGCGCCAAAAGTCCGCCCGTGCGGTCTTGGTGAAAAACGCGGGAGAAGATTCAACCAGTTCCGGGGAAAACTAGCCCTGGCAAGGAGACGTGGGAAGCGACTCAAAACAACCTAGACATGCTAATAGTTCACTAATATAGATCCTTATAGTAAGGTTCATATCTATGGGTCATGCACATATAGACTGGAGTCATGAGTCTCGTCATGACCCTGTCAAACAGGTCTTTCTGATCCCTCGCCGCCTGCTTAATGCAATGCGGGGCAGCCGGGCGAATCGGAACATGCCGGGACCCGCACCGAACCTGCACCATGGACCCTGCAGGTCAGCGAAAATGGTCAGACCTGGTGATGCACTCACACACAGTGCAGCGAAAAGGACGTCCCACATGCGTGCAGCTGGCCGGACCTGGCAAGATCACCTGGGGACGAATGAAAAACCAAAAGCGGTATTAGGCCATTCGCGAGTAGAAACAAGTGCATCGCTAGTAGTAACAAGTGCCTTACTAGTAGTAACAAGTGCATCGCTAGTAGAAACAAGAGGTATAAATGGCGGTATAAAACCACCTTGATTCGCGGAACGCCCAAAGATCTCAAATCGATTGGGCCTTGCACGTGTTGGCGCGCGAAATCCTGGTGACCACCGGACCACCTTGCTGTTCGGTTTTATCTGGGTGAGTCAGAAATTGCGAATCCCCTGAAACATCCTGATGTAATTGCAGCAAGCAGTCACCTTTCACTGACCGCACCAGCACATGAATTATAGTGAAACCATCGTCTTTGGCGCGTCCACATGACCGTCTTGGCTCCACGGCTCAGATGAGCCGACGCTGCCGACGCAATGTGCGTGAGGCGCGTGTGCTGCGGCCTTTGCGCCGCTTCCGCTTCGAAGGGCTTTCAGTAAATGGTAAAGAAAGGTCACGAGGAGCATCACAGTCGCGAAGAGAATTGAGTTCCTGGCTCCAAGTAGAGGGGAAGAGATATGCAGAACTCATGTGGGGCGTCAGTATGGGGCGTATCAAGGATTTATCAGGAAACTCGACTAGATCCAAAGAAGCCTCCCAAAAGACATGTACTAAAAGCAGCACTTAGGGTCAACTCGGCACGAAGTGTCAGCCTCTCAATCATCCAGTACAGTACCTTGGATTGTTTGGGGTTTCTATTTTGGCTCGAGCAAACAGCACTTTCCATGCTCCTTCCCTGAAATGTCACCTGCTAAGCACTTTCCACGTGAAAAAATATGGTTTACCACATTGGACCGGGTCACTAGGATGAAAGCGCGGAGAGGTACTGCCATGAGGAGCACCGAAAGATTGACCAAAGCGTCGCGAGAGGGAGAAGAGGCCGTGGCACAATAACGTCGTGCCAAAAACACCACCCAATCCTACGTCAAATGTGAAGAGAGTTGGAGTTTTCTTTTGAACATGAAACGTGTAAAAATCGTATGAAGATGTGTAAATCTTGAAGAAAAACAAAAGATGTTTGAGCTTTCAAAGGCTCTGCAATGATGGGCGTCACCAGAAGCCAGTTGCTCAAACCATCCAGGGCAATCTGCACAGCACGACTCCACTCTCCAATGCATGCCCAAGAAACCGCGACATCCAAACAACCCCACATAAGGGGGGCATGTGACTAACAGAATCCCACTTCGTGTAAATACCTGGTATTGCAGGTCTGACATGACCGCTTGCATCACTTCGCTTCGGATGCACTCTTCAAATGCCTTCTCACTGCCAAACCACTTCGAGACACATGCTTTGACAATCCTGCGATCACAAAGAATTGTCTCTTGCCCCTCACGGTGGTTGACTTCACAGCAATGACTGCGAGTCTTATCAAAATTCACCGAGTTCAACTGCTGTTCGAGCAGTGCCAAAGATCGAAAGTAGCCACGCAGAACGCTGACCATGAAAAGGCCTGCCAGGCTCCCCATCAGAAAAATGATGAGTAAAATATGTTGATGGTTCTCAGCATCATTCGGCACCAATACCAAAGGAGCTACCGTGACCACCATGACTGAAAAGGAGATGGTCGAACTTGGCCCAACCAGGGAAGGCCGGATCGTGAGCGCATGCTGTTCGTTCTCGGACTTGCTTTTGAGAAATGCAGCCAACCTCACGGAAAGCAAACTCACAAGCGTCTATTTCCAAGAACGCGGTTGGAGCACCAACGGGTGCCACTCTTGGTGACACCACTTTGGCTGACTCCCTCAGTTTCCCTGCAAAAATGATGGGGAAAACCGGTTGACCGTTTTGAGTGGGATCCTCCCAATCCCCCCCCAAAAAAAACATGTTGCTGATCCACTTTCCCTGGGTGGCTTGGTGCCCCCCCCCAAAGAAAACGAACAACTGGAACCGGTGCCACGCCGCATCGTCCTGTGTCGGGGGTCCACCCGGTTCCACCGTTCCGTGTGGTGTTTGTGTCAAGAACCTGCGCTTCACCTCGTAACACCTGAGAAAGCTCTAATGGTGGTTTCAACTTTAGTCAGTCGACTCTATCATCCCAAGTAAAGGTTAAGATCATGCAATTATCCCGGCAAGAGACACCAAACAGTGTTTGAGGTCTAAAGGTGTAGCAGCAGAAAGTCTAGAGATCTAGACGCAGATCATGGTGATGGTGGTGGTGATGGTGGTGACGATGGTGGTGATGGTGGTGATTGATGGTGATTGTGGTGGTGGTGGTGGTGGTTGGTGGTGATGGTGGTGGGCGGTGATGGTGGTGACGGTGGTGGATGGTGGTGGATGGGGATGCGCAAGCTGGGAAAGGTCCACAATCCACAAAGTACTGCTCTGCCACGAAACCCGCACTTCAAGGCCAACAAATCCACTTCAAGGTCCACAAAGTACTGCACCTGCCACGAAATCTGCACTTCACGGTCCACAAAGTACTGCGCCTCCCACAAAATCTGCACGTCAAGGTCCACAAAGTCGTGCACCTGCCACGAAATCGGCACTTCAAGGTCTGCCACGAAATCTGCACTCCGAGGTCCACAAAGTACTGCAACTGCCACAAAACCTACACTTCAAGGCCCACAAAGTACTGCACCTGCCGCAAAACTTGCTCTTGGAGGTCCACAAAGGTCCACAAAGTACTGCGCATGCCACGAAATCTGCACTTCAAGGTCCACAAAGTACTGCACCTGCCACGATTTCTGAAAACGAACCACATGTCCAAAAGTCACGATTCACTACACCTGCGACGAAATCAGAGCATGCCAAAGACAACCACCATGTCCAAAGTACTGCGCCTGCCACAAAATCTGTACATCGACATCAGACTGCCCCGATTTCCTGCGCCTGCCACAAAAAGTCGACTCCCACCAAAACACGAGGGTTTCCCTTGCGCCTGCCACGAAGAGTTCTCACCACGTCCAAAAATGCGCATGGCACCGCAACGAGAGCGCACCTCCGTCAAGCACCGTCCCGCGGCCGGCGTTTCGCACGACCCTGCGCAAAGAAATTGCACTTGGAAATCTCAGAATGGAATTTTTCTGCCCAGCTCAGAGAGAGCACCCTGATCGAACCCATGCTCTTACACCTACCGTCAGAACCCCTCAGTGTGGACTGTTTGGGGAAATATCTGACACATTCTGAAACCACCCAGTCCATCTGTGAAAGTGTGACAGCGACAAAAAGGACACCCTGACCGGTGAAAAAGATTCCGAAGGTTGTGGAGGCCAGGCTATTGGGGGTGTCAAAAAGGACCTGGATCAGTCTAGTCGGCTGTCCAAGGAACTCAAACAAGCACCACAATCTCTCACTCCACGTTGGATCCCATAGCACTAACATCTTCTCCGACCGCTTGAGCATGCCCGCCAGACTGCAAATTGCGGCCGCTTTGAGCTTGCTGTCGTGCTGGTTGATGCAAATCCTGTCTAGAAACACTCTGTGCCTGGGACGCCAAATGATCAACGTCACCAGTGCTGCCAAGCTGCCAGAGCCCAAACCCCAAACTGATGTCCTTTCAAGATATTGATTTTTCTCAAAGCCAGGTAGGAAACCGAGGGCGAACAGAAGCATCATGATGAAGCTGACGATGAACCCACAGCAAATTGCAGCCCTTCCATTGTAGAGAACCAAGAGTGTCCAAATCTTGTTCCATCGTCCACCATGCCAGGAGTGGGACCAAAAGTTGCCAATCCTTGAGCTCGGACGACTCTTATGATACAAATCTCCCTCGTTGGCTTCGCTTAACGTCAATGCTCCCAAGGCGTTGTTGGCTGACGTGGTCCGCAAGACCTCACAGGGTGGGTGTCGGTGACGGAAGAGGCCGTTGGAAGAAGAGGCAGCCTGAGGAAGGACGCATCTAACCATCTTCGGACTCCATTCTGAAATAGACGAGCTTGCAACAACCAAAAAAGAACACCTAAGGACCCGGTGCGCATTTTCGTAGGCTGTCTCAAGAAGGGTCTCAGAAGGCTTTATCTGAATCTAGGCGTGCACGAGACCGGATACCTATTATGTGATGGCCTCAAGGACACTTGCTCCAAAATACCCTTTACCGACCTTGCCAAAAAATCACACCACTCCACTCACTACACTATACAACTACACAAATCCAAGTTATCCCTCTGTCTCCCCACAGATCCCCGACTCTCTCGGCCGGAACTGAGTCGTCTTCGTCCAGTAACACATCCTCCTTTGAATTGATTTTTTCACGTGAGAAAACATCATTCAATTCCTAAACACATCCTCCATGAGAACCGGACCAAAATACCATGTTCAAATCCACGTCTCTTCTAGCGACCACCCGTCCGCCGTCTGGCGTCTGGCGCGACCGTCCGTCCCTTTTTCGGCATCCAACTACCTTCGGACCCTCCTGGCGCCGACAGTTTCACGTGCCGAACCCAGAAAACCTTCTGAAGGGGTATGTGAATCCATAGGGCAACACACTTGAGTTCCCATTCCCGGACCTTCCGTGTGGCGTGGATAACAAGAGATCCACTCGCCCAAACTCTCTCATGTATGGGGGTGGTTACCGGTGGTTGAAAAATTGATTCCATACCATGTTTTAGGGGGGAGGATAAATAAGGTTTGATACGCCTTTCATACTAATGTAGACTCTTGATTAATAATTAACCCCCCTGTATGAAGAGGATGTCCAATTCACATGAGGGGGGCTATATAATCTACATGATTGGACCAATTAATCAAATTGGTCTCCATTGATAGCAAAGGACCAATTTTAGCAAATGAGTCTACATGAAGAAGCTGGTTATTGGTCCTGGGACTGTCATCCGCTGGGCCCCGCCGCCTCGGAGCTGACCAAGTCCATCCGCGCGACCGCCTCGGCCGCGAGCTCCTCCAGCTGGGGATCGACCTGAGCCACGATGCCCATCGTAGGCTCTGTGTTTGGGGTGAAGGGTGGAAAGGGGTGGAGGACCTCGTTTTTGGGTCGTGTTGTTTCTTTAAATGCAATATAGATATAAACATATAGTTATAGATGCATGTTCACCCCGTATGATCTACTCAGTTTGTTTTAGTTAAACAATATGTCGTTCATTCAATTGTTTCATCCAACATACCTCATGTGCTATGAGGTTGTCTTCACATCAGTCTGCATATTTGCAATTTTCATGAGGTAACAAAGTACATGAGATTCATACAGCTCTGCGAGCTGTCTTGACCTGAAGTGTGCACATATGTAAACTCATGCAGATTCACAGTCTGATGTAGCTAAATAGTTGCGGGTTGCAAGTACCTTAATTTCGACACGTGGATCTTCCAAAGATGAAAAAGAGCACTTCGCAACGTGTAAAGTCATTTAATCAACTAAAAAAGGAAATTCAAAAATAAGAATGACACCTGACAAGCGTGACATCATTGCAGAGGATATTATTGTTAAAAATCCTATGAGAGCAAAAGTGCAAGCAATACATGAGTCTTTAGTTCAATAGTTTAGAAGGACATAAGTGGAATCAAAAGGGATTTAAGAGGAGCTCTTTTTAAATCAAACCGACCTTTGCAAGGGAATAACAATAGGCATATAAATAGATAATTGAAATGAAAAAAGGAAATCGATAGGAACCCAAAGGAATTCAATCGGACATCAATGAAGGGAATTCAAAAATGTGAAGGAGTCACAATGGACTCGCAGGAATTGCAAAATGCAATTGGTTCTTTCCTTTCTGCGTCTGTGCCTGCATTTTCCGATGGGCCGGCTGTGGAAAATACAATGTGTGTAGGTTACAGACATATGTTCTTGGTTATTTGCCTTTTTGGTGTTTGGTTTACCAACGCGGTATGTGAAGCAAACAACATATCTCTGTTGCCTTACCTCCAGTGTATCTTATTTGTGGCTCACTACCCCAGATTTTCCTCGGCTCGGTTGGTTTCCAGGCCAACAGTAGATCATGGGGGGGATGTCCATAGATATAGATAGATAGATAGATAGATAGATAAGATCGATTAGACATGACACATTAGATTAATTAGATAAATAATATAGATAATCAAATAATAACAAATACGCAAGATAGATGGATACCTGGATAGATTGACACATAGATACATATTAAATATTTAGAAAAATAGATCTACCAAATTAGATAAAATTGGGTATATAGTTAGATAGGTAGGTATGAAATCAAAGATTCGATATTAGGATATATGGATACGATATGGATATAAACATAGGTAGGTAGATACATAGATACACAAACATTTGATGGGTTGTGAAGGATACTTGGTGCCATAGTGATAAGGATACTAAGAATATCTAGTTAACATAGTCTTTCATTTTGATGTATGATGATGTATGATTATATATGATGATAATTTGTGATTGACACAAAGGTAGCAACAAAAGATCCTCCTTCCCTCGCACAGCCGCGTGCGTTTTCCACTCACAGCTCACCTGAAGGTTGGTACGAACGGTCGGGCGCCTCGCCCTGCAGTGTCCTCACTGCTTCTATGGCTCAGGTCACGGGTGACCCACCCTACACCACCCTTGCGGCCTCGCACACTCGTAGCTTCGGACGTGAACACACCTGAGTGGGTCAAGACTGGTTCCTCAGTGACCGAAAGGTTCGAAATTCACACTCATCAAAAATTCTATCAATCTTTTTCTTTGGTTGTATGTCGATCATCCTTCTTGCTGCTGGTCTCCCATTAGAGGGATCCCAGACTCAAAACTCAAGCCACCTAAGGCGTGTTCTGCTGTCAGCTCGCTCTTTCAACACTTGCAGTTCGTCATTTAGTTGATACATGCCTCGTTGCAAAGTGTATCGGAGGAAAGTTCCTTGCATCACCTTAGTTAGTGCATCAGCGAGCTGAGCTCCTGTATGAACCCATCTTAATTGAATGCCTTCGGATAGCAAATCTTTTATTGCCTTTGCTTGAAGTTGTGTACGGAATTCCTGGCAATTTGGTTGAGCAGTTCGGGTAACCAAATCATACAGAGATTTGCAATCTGTGACAGCTACTGATCGTGGCAAACACTGGGCTAAGGCTGTCGTAGATTGGATTGGTTTGGGTTCACTCTTAAAAACCTCATGTGGTCGTTTCCAATTGACTTGGGGATTTTGGATCCATGCCCAATAGAGTCTCATCCAAGATAGCTGGTCTAAGCTTGTTTGGAGCGAAGTTGTTTCGGCTGACAAAGTACTCGTAACTACTTTCTGGATCTTACGGCAACCCGAGGACAATGGGCTGACTGGGCATTGATAGTTCTCACTTATATCCCTATGGGTGGCCAAGATGATCATGCCTGTGTGACTTTCTGGGCTCTTGGCCGACGCAAATGATGCGTCCGAGAATAACAAGAATCTGAGATCCTTGATTGGGATGGGTTGGATTCTGATGCACGTGTCTTTGTATCGTTTTGCTTCATGAAGTACACGGTTGGCATCGTGCAACGTTTGGACCGTGGCTTTGTTGATCTCACTTTGGATGTAGCTTAGTCGACTTGAAAGATGCGGTCTCGTGTTGATGCTCGCGTACTGAAGACTTCCCACAAGTGCACGGAGCGAGTGTCTCTCTTCGGAGGTCACTTCATCCGTCAGACATGTTCGTCTGCTTGCATTCATGTGGATTGGCTCAATCTTGCTTACATACTTGGATTGGGACATGATGATACTTTTGTCTGCCTGTTGGTTCATCTCAACACCAGTGAACGTGAATTGACCTACTTTCTTTGATCCAAATGGGAATTTGGCTTCTAGCTTTGAGATTTGTTCTTCAAAGTATTGATCTCCTCCACCTAGTCCATCGTCAACATGAACTCCTAGGACCCCCGAAATTTTGCTTTGTCCTGGTTTGTATAGTACGTATGTGCATGGGTCGAAGGGTGCTGGAATGAAGTTCAAATCACGAAGGGTCCGATCCAATTCCTTATGCCACAAATAAGGAGCATCGATCAAACCGTAGGCTGATTTTTCGAGTTTGCAGATTTGATTGGGTTGAAGTTTCAATGCCTTTCGAAGTTCTTCAACAGGTTCCAGGCCTAGAACTCGATCTTCCTGCGTTTTGCCTTGCAAAAATGCAGCTTTGATATCGAAGCTTTTCAGAGTCCATCCCATGGATGATATTGCTTGCAACAAGAGCATTTTGGATTGCTTCCCAAGTGTCGGCGAGTCCCGGGGTATGCTGTCTAACTGGGGATCTTGATATCCAAGGACTACTAGACGTGCTTTCGGTTTATGGGTCTTTGGTCCTGGTCTGACGTTCTCAGTTGATCCGGTTTGAAGGTCGTCAGCATCAAGGGGTTTCCATACGCATATCCAGCGGCAACGCATTACCTGTTCCGGACACAGCTGATCCCGAAAGATTTTACTCACCGTCCCTGTGTTTAACCAATTTGCGATCTCCTTTTCCTTTGCTTGACGGAAGAGAGCTTGTTCTTCGGTGGACAATTGGTGCATCTTTACTTCTGTTCGGTCACGCTTGGTGGTGGTAGTCATCATGATAAGATCTGTTGCTGGTGAGTTTTCATCCCATTTCATCATTGTTTCTTGGGGAAACAGGACTTCAGCTTTCCATCCTACGGCTTCTGAGTCTATTTGTGTTTGGCACCAGTTGACCTGATCTTCGACACTTAGTAGGGAGTCACATACGAGTTCATCACTGAGATCGGATGCTTCGCTTGGGACCGGCACACTTGCTGCATCCTGATGACCGCCGGGGTCACTCGGCAATTCGATGCTTTGTCGGCTCGCTGGAGACACTTGACTCTCTGGAACCGAGGGCTCTTGATCTGGCTCTATCTTCTTGGCTCTCTGGTGGAGTTGCGGGTGCTTGTTCATGAATGTTGGCATTTTGTGTATCTTCTCCTTCAATCCCTGCGATCGGACTTAGAGCTCTGGGGATATGCTGGGCTTCCATGGCACTTACGGGTCGAACATGTTCAGGGGCTGTCTTTACCAAGCTTCCTGCGTGATTACACCAAAGACAATGGGGACCTTCTTGTTGGATGACTCTGGCTGGACCAAACCACCCCCGTTGGGTTGGAGTCTGTCTCCATAGCATCACCCAAGTTTCCCCTGTCATAGGATCCTCGGTGAGGACAGCTTCGCCGGAGAACTGCTCTTCGCAACGCAGAGCTGTTGTCTGCACAGTGAAAAGCTCGTCGTGCAGCTTCGCGGTATGCCAGCTT